CCTGTGTGGGTTACTTTACCCTTTGCATTTCATACTTGGTGAGCATTGGATTTGAGGAGTATGATTAAAAGTTTTACAGCCAGATATTTTTTGGAAGGAACTATAAAATGATGACCGTTTTGTCTCAGGCAACTAAGGAAAATAACAGTATAGGAATCTTTATTATTATTATTACAGATAGACTGTTTGGAGGAATTTAGGGGAGAGGGTAGTTTTGATGAAGGACTGGGTAGACCTAAAATGTTTCATGAGGTTTGACATATGTGAAATAGGAAAACAAAGATAGTTGTGGTTATTTAGTAGGCATCCACAGACTGCTGGGCCTTCATGGTGTTTTAAGTAGGTTGAACTAGGGTTAGAATTTTCAAGATAATCCAGAGATGATTCTTTGGTAAACCAGTTTCGAAAAAAACCCAAAACTTCCTTACTAAAGACAATTTTGGTTTTACTACAAGAAGGGGACACAGTCTGTTGTACTGGGAGAAAGATAGCTTACATTCTAGTGGGAGATGATTTTCAGGGCTAGGGAGGTATTGTGTTTCTCTCTCTAAAAGTTCTTTACATGTCATGTTTTCTTTATGTGGTCAGCAACTATTTCAGCTTCATCAGCAAGTATTTGATAGAAGGTATATACGCTGTCATGTTTTTCATACCTAATGCATTGCATATTTAGTGCATATTTGAATGTGTCTTTTCTATTGCTGTCTCTAAATTAGCGCTGGATTCTTTGCTAGACCCGTATTGGTTTTCATTACCATTCAGATGTTTAGAATCAGAGATTTAAATTAACTTTAACAACTTGTAAAGTTTTCCTGTGCTAAAATTTTAGTCACTAAATGTAATGTGTATTATGTGATAGGCTTGTTGGCAGATGTATGGCCTGATAATGTCAAATGTGCATGTGTTACTGCTTTAAATATAGGATGTTGTGGCCCTCAGTCCTGCACCGTTGGCTTTTCTTAGGCAGGAACCTTCTCAGGGTCACACTATTCCAAACTGGGACAGTCAAAAGTGCCCCACACAACTTACTCAGTGAATTGTGATTGTGCTGCCTGAGTGGGGAAGATTATAGTGCTAAACCTGGGTGCTAACAGATTCTCCTCCTCTCTGTTACCTTAGGTCAGCCCCAGCTGATGCTTACAGCAGGACCCAGTGTGGCAGTCCCTCCCCAGGCACCTTTTGGTTATGGTTACACTGCACCACCATATGGGCAGCCACAGCCTGGCTTTGGGTACAGCATGTGAGATGGAAGCTGATCCTGTAGTCTCCTATTTTCATACTGAAGCATCGTCTACCCACTTCTCATTTAATAAACGGGGAAACAGGCACCGTGTTCTTGTAACCTTTATTTCATGAAGGACTACTTTTTTGTTTCTAACTATAGACTTGGATCGCCTATGTTAAAACCTTATTTTCACATTCCGCATCCGTTAGAACTTCTTTCAAAGGGGAATAGTATTCATGTGGGCTTTTTTCTTCCCCCTCATCCTTTGAAGAACTGCTTACTATTCAATCTGTTGTGAAGAACTTGATTTGCACTCTGTAGTGTTTAAAGAAACAAAGAAACTCTAATACTGAATCTCTTAAATTTAGTGTATGTAAACAGCTTTCAATATGTATTGTCTAAATGCATTTAAATCTCTTTTATTCAAAGAAAAGCTAAAGTGAAAGAATTGGTATGTGACCATGCAAGACTGTCGATGCCAACAAAGACAACACTAATCAGCATATTCTACATTGGATCACAGCACTCTCCAAATTATTTGAAAAATGCATACAGACAACTTGCCTGATCTTTAAATGAGCATAAAAGGCCTTTAACCTATGCAGGTTTCCCCATTGCGCATATAGAAAATGCTAGTGTGTTTTGCTCACTTCATGTGTAACAGGTGCCCTCATGTTGTGCTGTATCCTGTGCTTTTTCTGTGGGACCATTCCATTCAGGAACAAAGAGCACCATGATTCCACACGTGTGTATTTACTAACCCTTCCCTGAGGTTTGTGTATGTTGGATATTGTGGTGTTTTAGATCACTGAGTGTACAGAAGAGAGAATTCAAACAAAATATTGTTGTTCTTCAGTTTTGTTTGTGGAATTTGAAATTACTCCAATTTAAAATAAATTACTGGACTGTGGAAATAACATGTAGAATTGCAGTTTTAATTAAATACATCTCAAACCAGAAGAATGGTGGTTTTCATAGTTTCATCCTGGATACTGCTAGAGCATTACAGGGAAGCAAAGCGGGAGATTATGAAAAAGACATGCATTATGTCACTTGCATGCCTATAGTTTAGAAAGGATATGCAGTAGTCTTTTTTTTTTTTTGGTTTTTCGAGACAGGGTTTCTCTGTGTAGCTTTGCGCCTTTTCCTGGAACTCACTTGGTAGTCCAGGTTGGCCTCGAACTCACAGAGATCCGCCTGGCTCTGCCTCCCGAGTGCTGGGATTAAAGGCGTGCGCCACCACCGCCGCCCAGCTCGCAGTAGTCTTAAAAGCAGTTACTTAATAGTGCGATTCGTCTCATGTTTCCAGTATTTGAATCAAGTGGCATTAAGGTGTTTAAGTATTTCACCTAACTGAATCATGTTACATGAACTTGAAATAAAGACGTATTTTTTAAAGTAGTTAGCATGGCATTTCTTATCATGAGCTTAAAGGGCACTAAATGTAAATCTTTTGCCATGGCTAAGAATATTGAATTTATTTCATTAGGACTTAATTCTCTAGTTACATAGCTTACTGCCTAGCTTATGTTGCTCTTATAACTCTCAGGCAAATTACCTAAGCTTCACAGAAATTTTTTTTAGAAAAACTTAAAACACACCCATAGCAAATTAGTATTAATGTGAAAGTCATTTTGGTTTGTCATAGTGAAAATGTGGGCTATTCAGGCCAAAGCTACACTGTGTTCCCAGATCTCTACCTACCCCTCATCATGGAATCAAAAGATATATCATTTGTTCTTGACTTTTCTGTACTCGTAGAATGATGCTATCTTTTCCTTTCCTTAATAGAAGCAATTTTAAATACCCAATTTATTATTTTATGTGTATGGGTGTTTTGCCTATATGTATGTGTACCACGTGCATACATTGCTCTCAGAAGCCAGAAGAGGGACTCAGATCCTCCGAGCCTGGAGATAAGTTACCCTGTGGATACTAGGAATTGAACCTTGGTCCTCTGTAAGAGCAGTCTTAAACACTGAGCCATTCTCCATCCCTACTGTATTTTCTTACTGTTTCATTGAGGATTATTTCCCCCAACAAAAATTAACTGTTTTAATCATGTACTGTTGTCCTGTGATGCCAAGTTGCCAATTAAACCATCCATATTGGGCAACACAGAAAACAAACCTTGGTGATGTGCCAGCTAGTAGGCAGGCTGCTGATTGTTTTCTTCTCTGTATACCAAGTGCTGTTCAGAATTACTAGGCAGATTATTTTATGTGTATGAGTGTTTTGCCTTCATGTATGTTTGTGTATCATATTCGTGCCTGATGATCAAGGAGACCAGAAGAGGGCATTGGAGCCCCTGGAACATAGGTGGTTGTGAGTCACCATGTGAGTGCTGGGAACTGAACCTGGCTCTTGATTGTTGTAAATTCTCTCTAGCCTATTGGTTTTTTGATTCAGGGTCTCCATACATTGTCCAGGCTGGCCTTCCTTGAACTTGAGATCCTTTTTTCTCGGCCTCCTGCATGTGGGGATTATAAGTATGCACCACCTGTCAGGTTATCTTCAAATCAAAATGGCCAGCCAAGGACTGGGCTGTGATGTGTGCACCATGATGGGTGATAGATAGATCAGCTGGTAGTAAACTATTTTACACAGGGTCTCTTCACTAACATTACTCTTGAGTTTATCACTGGGGTAGGTTCTAAACAGAGAAACTAAAAACCACCCAATAGTTGTTACTCTAAATGTTGTTGAACTAGGAGGAAATGGGGGTGGGAGACTAATGGGAAATTCATATTAAAAATAGCCACTGCATGAACAAATCTGTGCCAGTGGTTAACAACTGTTTAATCCCGGCCATATTAGTGCATCAGAAAGCAGCACTTCTTGCTCTTTTTCTAGTGCAGCCACCATCTCACTCTGAGCCTTGTCTGCCAGACTACTGGAGTTTAGTTGGTCATTTCTGTCAGTGACCGTGAAAAACACTTTGTATACTGATACAGAAAACATACATTTGCTATGTGGAACCAAGGAGCGCTTGCCTAGCATGTGAGACCCAAGGTGCGATCCCTGCACTGCAAAGATGGTTGGGCTTCTTTTGTACTGTTGTGGTTCAGTTCCAGCACCCTGTACATGGTAAGTGCTGCAGCCCCCAAACACTGATGTGTGGGGAAAGCTAGGGGAGAGGCTGAGAAAGTTCTCCAAACTTCTTCCAGTTGTTTTCCTTCAAGTGGCTGGTGCATTTAGTTTTTGAGGAAATGTCTGCCACACACTTGGGTTTGGGGGCAATTATAGTCCCTTTTTGTCTTGTTCTAGAGACAAGAATGCTAACCTGGAACTTGGAGAAATCCTCTGGTCTCAGCCTTCAAAGTGCTTGGATTACAGGAATGAGCCACCACACCTGGCTAGTTTCAGGGTTAGTTTTTTAATGTGTATTTATTGTCAGTGTAGCACAGTGCCATGGCATTTATGTGGGTTCCAGGGATCAAACTCAGGTACCAACTGAGCCAACTCAATAGCCCTAAGTTTACGTGTGTAAAGTTTTACTTCTAATTGTACATATGTGTGCTTGTCTATGTAGGTATGTTAACTTGAGTGTGGGTACCCATGGAGGCCACAAACGGGTTTTTGGATCCTCTGAAACAGGTAGTTGTGAGGCAGAAACCAAACATGGGCTTTCTGCAAGACTCTAACCACAGAGCTATCTCCCCACCCAGCTTCTCATTTCAGTTCTTAAAAAGTAAAAATCTTCCATGAAATAGAGTCCACAAATAAGTGACAATACATACTAGCCTTTTAGACAACCAGACATTAACACAAATAGTCATGGTTAAAAAATGCTTTTAATTGTTTTTATTCATTGAGAATTTCATCCATGTATACAATGTACTGTGAGCCTAGCACCCCTCCCCCACTCATCTTCCTCTCAAGTTAATCTTTTTCATAACAGTGCACTGAGTCCAATCAGTGCTGACATTATGGGACTGTATGTTGGGCCATCCTGGGCAACCTACCAAGGAGGACTTCCTGAAAAGACTCCCTCTACCCTGCAGCCTTTAGTTAACTATTTCACCAGGACAAGTGAAGCTTTACTATGGATGTGGGATGTGAAGGCTACAATATAATGGCTACTTGTTTAGAGAGATCATCAGTGGTAACACATTAGAGAAAAGAAAGTGCCTTTCATTCAAGTTAATGGAAATAGTTACACAGACTCCTTGGGCTCTGCAGAGTATGCTGTGAGGACTACTCGTTAAGTGCCTATGAAATACATACCAAGAACAGGTGAACAAATACTGTGATTTGTTACCAGAACATTTTTCACTGTCCTTGTAGGTAAGCCCTGGCTTATTACAGGTCCTTGAATCAGCTACCCCAGCCATCCTGCTGGGAAAGCAGTCTGTCAGTGTGGAGTCATAACCATGTATTTAAGATTGAGTTCAACTCAGTTACATGTGGTTGCATCACTTTTGACTCCTGTATAAACATTCCGTTTAGAAACTGTTGCTACTGTGGCATCATTCAGTGTTGATTGCTCCTGTACCATCTTATGCTTCTGTGTGATACAAATGCACCAAGCACCATAACTTAGAGACTGCTTACAGTTTAATCATTCTGCCTAGCTTCTACTTATGACCTTACACTCAACATCACAGTTTTAAAGGATATGATGAATTTAGAAGTCACTGTCAATCTTCTGGAGCTGTCAAGAAAAATGGATTCTAGCAAGACTGTCAAGAAAGCTTTATGTAGCCAAGCATGCTGGTGCAAGGCTTTAATCCCACAGCATTGGGAGAAAGGCCGGAGGACTTCTGAGTTCAAGAAAAGCCTGGTTCTACATAGTGAGTTCCAAGTTAGTCAGGGATACACAGTGAGAAAATGTGCCCTTAAGTAATAAAATTATTTAGTTCCTAATATTTTCAGGAGAGATTGGGTACAACTACAGTCCTTTAGTTGCCATAAATTCATTCTCACATTTCCACTTTCAAAGTCCATAAAGTTCACTTAACATACTGGTTTCACCACTGAAGTAAGTAAATGAATTTCTAAAGCTTATGAATTAGAACCACTGTGAAGTACCTTTAGCCCAAGTGGATCAGAAATAAGCATCAAAATGCTACATAAAATTTCAACTCTGAAATAGAAATCAACTAGGTATGATGTTGCATGCTTTCAATCCCAGCATGTCGGAGGTCAAGGCAGGAGAAATGCCACAGGTTCAAGGTTAACCCGTCTCCAAAACATCCAGCTAGTTACAAATCTTAATTATGACTGCACAGTGGGTCTATGCAATGGTCTGTTAATTAAAGATTATCTACGAAAAACTGCAATATGATTTCTTGAACCAGGTCCTCAAAAAGGCCAAGGATAGCAGCATGGTTTGATTGAAGAGTAATCAACACACAGAGGCCGCATTATACATGGGAAACATGGCTTCCTTTTTACCCAACATCAGACTGTTTCAGCACCTATCACTCCACAGAGCATTTAAACAATATTTTTATTTTTTATTTTTTTGAGAAGGGTTTCTGTCTCTACCTTGGCTGTCCTGGAACTTGATCTGTAGACCAGCCTGGTCTCAGATCTGCCTGCCTCTGCTTCCCCAAGTGCTGTGATTAAAGGCTTACGTTTATTCTTTAGATTTATGTGTATGGTGGTTTTGCCTGTATGTATATATGTACACCATGTGTGCCTAGTGGTGGAGATGAGGAGAGGGTGTTGGATCCTCTGGAACTGGAGTTATGGATGGTTGTGAACTGCCATCCAGATAACAGGGAACTGAACCAGAGTCCTCTGCAAGTATCTCTCTAGCCCTTCAAAAATATTTTAAGCTCAAGATATTAATGGTCCAGAACATGATAGAACATGGGAACAGATTTTAAAGTGGGGCAAAAATTAAGCTTTTATTGTTACTGACAAGCTTCAGTTTTCAGACAGAATCACATCACACAAAAGCTCATCTAGTAAAGTTTTAGGTGGCCAGTAACTTCATCAATTAGTTCTACTGGTCCTGGCCCAATTCCCAGGACAGTTCGAGAGCCCGGTTCAATCTGAGTACGTCCAGCATCTTGGATTAAACTTACAGTCAGTCCCAACATCTTTGCATGGGTCAGTAATTCAATGAGGGTGTCTTCATCTGGGGCTTTGACCACCACTTTGGGCTGGCCACAGTCCTCCCACTCTTTGAGCACTTGAGGGTTTCTCCTTTGAGTCTGCTTGTAGGCAGAAACAGCAGCATGAGAACACTGGGCAGCGACCTTCCCTTTTCCCATCTTTAGGTCAGTTCGAACCACAAGAATCAATTTGTACTCTCCACTCTCTCCCAAGATGCTTGCTTCGGTTCCTGTCTCTGTGTCTCTATTTGTCTCACTTGTTGAGTTCTGGGGGAACATCCTAAGGTGGCCCCGGAGGCCCCAGCCCAGGCACATGCCACAAGCAACTCCAGCAGCCAAGCTGAGTGTACCAGGATGAGCCAAATACTCCATAACCAAGAACTTGGAGAGTACCTTAAGGGAAAAGAAAGAAGTTATTATCTAGAACTGGGGTTTCAAGCTATTCAGATAAACCACCTATAAGCAGCAAGCAATGTTTTAGAGCCACACTAAGTCACACAGAGGAAGGCAAGATAGACTGTGGATCTTATGCATAGACACACCTTCCATCCATCCCAAGTACTAGACAATTGAAAGACCCCCAAGAAATAGTTGTGGCAATTTTGAATGGTCAGCAGAATTTTTTTTTTTTTTTTTTTTCGAGACAGGGTTTCTCTGTGTAGCTTTGATGCTTTTCCTGGATCTCGCTCAGTAGACCAGGCTGGCCTCGAACTCACAGAGATCCGCCTGGCTCTGCCCTCCGAGTGCTGGGATTAAAGGCGTGCGCCACCACCCCCCAGCGGTCAGCAGAATCTTTTCAGTTAAAAACCCTACTATTTAAGTCTTCCTTAAATCCTGTGAGAAAAGCAAATGATGTCTTGGCCAATATGCCTAAAGAACTATTGGGGTCAGAGGTCCTTGTGTTCACAGAGAAACACTAAGAGAACCAGGAATGTTAATCACACAGGGGTATCTCCTCAATGGAAGAGATACAAACCAAATACCTCCATTCCATCCAAGAAAGCAGAGAGTAGAGGCTGCTAACAATCTGGTGACTTTTTTGCTATCTGAAGGGACAGAGCTTACCCTAATTCCCCAGAACGGTTATTCCAGACTCTTCCCTCCCCAGACCATTACTCATCCTTAGGGGAGATTTCACAAGTTCTTTTGGCCTGCTGACCACACTAGATTCTAGGTCTTTTTGCTATAGAACCCACCCTCATGGTCACATATACTTTGACTACATAGAAATTCTTTTACAAAGTTTTTAAAGCTTTATTGTGCACCTGGAATTGGACTGATGGTTGCCTGGAAATCTTTTCCCAGATTGTACTATGTTTTAAATCTGCTGACAATGAACTGTCTGGTATTAGACTCTTAGAAGTCTGATCCAGGTTGGTGAAGTCAATGTGCACCATGTTTTCGTTCTTACCTCTTCACACGGTTCACTTCCCTGTATGACACCCGCAGGGACCCCCTTCAAAGAGCCTAAATAAAAACTCACTCTGGAAAGGAGTATAAATCTGTGTCTTCATAATACAGTGGCTCTCACTGTCATGGTAAGCCTGTGGGAGGTGCACTAGGCCATGAAGTCAGGATGCTGTAAGCAAAGCTGCAGCACTGGAAATTAGCATGGATGGGAAACTTATCCAAGATCTAATACAAATTCATGTTACATCTGAACACACGGTATTTGAAGTAGGGTTCTTAAATCTGTGAGTTTTCTACAAGTGTAGCTATCCTAGAGGCATTGGATACCCTTCTCTCCTTCCCTCCTCAACAGGGTCTCACTCTGTAGTTCACCATGCCCTGGAACCCAGACAGGCCTTGAACTTGCACAATCCTCTGGCCTCAACCTTCCAAATGCTGGGATTTGGAATGAGCAACAAGCCTGGCTTGGATTTCTATGTCAGCGGAAACTACCATCAGTTTCTTCCTCCAGTACAGTGTTCAAGCGTTCATATACATGAAACCACCATTTTACAGTGCTTAAGTGACACACTGGGAACTGTGCAATGCACAACCTAAGTGGAATGGATGGCAACACTTACTTTAGCATAAATTTCCCTTTTATCCTTCATAACATACAGACATGTTAACATATGCTAAGTGGAGGGACTCTGGCCAGTTTGAGCATGGCTCTGGCAGGCCTTGCCCTTCTCCCAATCCCTTGGCCTTGCTGAAAACTGTTAGATTACATTCCTAAAGCTAGCCACCAAGGTCTGTTCTACTTTTTGGCCAATCCCTCCTCCTGAGGCTGACTACCATGGCCCAGCTATCAACGTATTGAAGTCCAGCAATCAGAAGCCCCCTTTGGCTCACCTAATTAACATGCCCAATTAAAGTCAAGCACCTCATCCTAACACGAGGTTTCCCCCTTGTACCTTTATAAACCGCCATTTTCCTATGTCCACGTCTGTCTCCTCTATGGTGATATTTTAATTGTACTGAAATGTGGTTTTATTTGTATGTTAATAAATAAAGTTGCCTGGGGGTCAGAGCTAATAGCAAGCCATAGCAGAAACTGGGCGGTGGTGGCGCATGCCTTTAATCCCAACTCTTGGGAGGCAGAGCTAGGCGGATCTCTGTGTGTTACAGCCAGCATGGAGACACACGCCTTTAATCTCAATACCAACCATAGAAGACCTGGAGGTCTGTACAGACAGGCAGTGACGAAGTCATGGGGTTGGGTTTACAACCAATGAGAAGGCAGAATAGAAAGTCTATAAAAAAGACAGACAGGAAGTACCTCTCTTGCTGAGGAAGATAGCAGCGGCAGTGAAGGGTAAGGATTTTAGCTGTTAGCTATTGCTCTGACCTCTTGGCTTTCCTCTTTGCATTGGCTCTGTGTTTCTTATTTAATAAGACGGTTCCATCTACACTCCTCTCTATCCAGAGGCAGTCCTTTGTCCTCTGGGACAAATACCCCTGCCCCCCGCTCCCTGGTTCCTTTCTCTTCTCCCTCATCCTCTATCTCCTGTGTCTTATCTATCTCTTATCCCTGCCCTCTGTCCCTAGGGAGCAAATAAATCTCCTTTGTGCTGAGAACTTGGCTTTGGGGGTCCTGAGCCATTACTTTTCCTTTTTACTAAGTATTACAGATTGATTATAAAGTACCAAAGATTTCCAATTGAAGACAGTATAACAGTATCAATTATTTAAGATAAAATTCACAAGCTAGGTGGTGGTGGTGGTGGTGGTGGTGCACGCCTTTAATCCCAGCACTTGGGAAGCAGAGGCAGGTGGATCTTTGTGAATCTGCAGCCAGTCTGGTCTACAGAGTTCCAGGACAGCCAGGGTTATGCAGAAAAACCCTATCTTGATCCCCTCCCAAAAAAAGATTCACGTACCATAACATTCACACTTTTTTTTGTTTGTTTGTTTTTTTGGGACAGGGTTTCTCTGTGTAGTTTTGGTGCCTATCCTGGATCTCGCTCTGTAGACCAGGCTGGCCTCGAACTCACAGAGATCCACCTGGCTCTGCCTCCTGAGTCCTTGGATTAAAGGCATGCACCACTGCTGCCTGGCACATTCACACTTTTAAAATGTACCATTGGTTTTTTTTTTTTCTTTGTTCTTTGATTATTTGCTGTTGTTGACAGGGTCTCACTCTGCAGTCACGGTGGCCTCACATTTGTGTCTATCTATCTTTTACCTCAGCCTCTCACTGCTGGGAGCACAGATGTGAGCCACCACAGCTGGCATGTAGTGGTGCTAATATATCCCCAAAGTCATGCCAACCATCACTTGTCTATTTCTAGAACAAGCAAGAGTAAAGACGGGATTCCAGCAAGCTGAGGAGCTTCTGCCCAGCACAGGGGCCACCAGGTAATTAGACACTTTACATTAATTACAGAAGGAAGTAAATATTTTGGAGGCAATGGGGACAGACTCAGGACCTCACACAAGCTAGCCAACTGTTCTACCACCATGTTGTATGCCCAGCCTTCTTTTTACCTCTTATTTTGAAACAAGGTCTAAGTTGTCCAGGCTAGCTTTGAACCTATGATCTTTTTACTTCTCCTTCCCAAGGAGCTGGGATCTCAAGTCTAACACCAGGCTGCTAAGACAACTAAAACTTATTGACAATCAAGTGTATTGGGTATAACTTTAAACCTCCTCTAGATAATATTCCTATGGGAATTGGTATGAAGACTATTTTGAGTTAAACAATGACAGACTAAGTAGATGACTTTTTTTCTTTGAGACAGGATCTAAGTATGTAACCCAGGCTAGCTTCATACTTCTAATCCACCTGCCTCAGCAGTGCCGAGACTACAGGCACGTCCCACCACAACTGGCTTCCTTCAGTTACAGTTCTTTGTTTCGTTGGTTTGGTTTTTGAAAGACGGTCTCACATAGCCCAGGCTAGCTTTGAACTCCCCCGTAAGCCAAGGCTGACCAAATTTCTTGTCTTTCTGCCTCTATTTCCCAAGTGTTGGGATTACAGGAACATGCCACCATGAATGGTTTTATGTGGTGCTAAGGATCAAACCCAGCATTTCATGTATGCTATACTCTACCAAATCCTCAATTACAGTTCTTAGTCACTAAAGAGGTACATATCATAAAGCTCATTTATACTTCAGGTGGGCACATGAACTATGTAGTTCAAAAGCAGGTCAAAGTTTATAGCAGAAACTTTAGATGGTTCAGCTATCTATTTAAACCTAAGTGAATTAGTAATTACAAGTGTGTAAGAGTCAGTATGCATGCTTTGATTATTCATATGATTATATGATGTTGTCAGCATTAGCTGTCAAAATGAGAGATCATTTTATACTACAAAGACTCTGCTCCAAATGTAGGATTATTTAAAGCATGAGTAGTTTTTCAGGGATGCAGCCATACAGGGCTAGTGGTGCTGGAGTTCTAAGAAAGATAGTAACAATGCACCAAGCTCCTGAAAAAGAGCAAGTATCAAACCATGGTTGTCTCAATTAGACTTGGTTAGAGACATGGACCCTTCAGAGGGTTGAAATAAATGCAAAATTAGATAAAAGCCTGACTTCTCTATTAGGTTAGCTAGGAAAATCAGAGATAGAAATATGTATATAAAGAGAATGCACACAATTTAGCCAGAATGTAAGTCTACAATGATTGAAGCAGAAATTAAAAGTGATGTCTGTCTGTCTCTCTTTCTTTGGTTTTTCCAAACAGGGTTTCTCTGTGTAACAGCTCTGGCTGGCCTAGAACCAGGCTGGCTTTGAACTCACAGAGATCTGCCTGCCTCTGCCTCCCAAGTGCTGGGATTAAAGGTATGCTCCACCACTGCCCAGCTGCCTCTTATTTTCTTAATGAAAAATGAAACATCAGATATGAAATCATAGGAAGTTTGTAATAGCTATTATGGTGAATGAAGAGCATGTGTAACAGAACTGTGAAATATTTATGTCTGGAACTCATTTCCTGAA